GACCTAATTTCAGATTATTTAATGTAAAAAGTTATATGGAATGTTTATTTTTTCTGAATAAATGAATTGAATTGAAAAAAAAGATCAGGATTCCGTTATAATATAACTTGGATGTTTTTTTTTTTTTTTTTTTAAGGTAGAATGCTTAGGTATCTGGAGATTGAGGCTGTTTCGCAGAGAATATGGTCAAGATAAGGGTTGCCATTTCAAAATTTTAAGTTACCAACCCATAAACATACCTCATAATGAGCGGTTGGAAAAATTCTAAGATCCGCATTTTTATATAAAAATACGAAATGGTGGTTGTGTAGCAACAAAGAAATTTGGGAAACACATTATTCTGGATTTTCTCTTTATTTTGAACCATAGAACCATTTTCTAGAGTAGCTGTTTACTTACAGGGCACTCTGTATAGTATTAGTATGGGTTTAACTTTCTGAGCCATTATTAAACAAAAAGAAACATCCACCGAGCGTTTATTTAGTACTCACTAAGATATCAATTTTAAAAAAAGTTTCTTATAACTAATCTAGATTTCCGGTCGTCACTGTGATGATTGTTGTTCGTCAGTTCAAATGCAATCTTAATACGATATAATGGGAATAAGAGATAAAATCTTATTATACTTCGGTTGAACAATGTATATCTTTGGTGTAATATCAATAAGAAGTACTTGACTTAGACATGCGAGTTAAATCTTGAGAAATCAGTAAGAGTTTTACACTCGATGGTTTTCAAAATGCAATCAGTGACGTCATTTTAGTGAATTGTGTTTGAAAATGAAACTCATAAGTGAAAAACAGTGGGTTAACCATGCCGCAACGTATGTTTTATCACAGTGTATAACAAACCTCAAAGTACCCTAATTTAAACTAATTTGTTCAAGAAAAATTCAAGAGAATATTCAAGAATTCAAGAGAAAATATGAGAAGGTTTTTGAACAATTCCTGTTTTAATTACAATAAAAAGTTAAGAAAATCACGATCTCAGAAAAATGAATAAATCGTAGTTTGTCATCGCACCCTTCTATTTATTCAAATTAATTTGATAACCACTTAAAAAAATGTTAACATTCTTCCAAGTGACAGCTCGCTTACTGTTTGGGGGAAGGCTACAGTACACAGTATACCGTTCTGTTTGTGGTTTTTAATTGTGTTTTCCCATCGTCGGCTGAGTTTTTATATTTTTCTTGTTATGTTTTCAATACTTACTCACCTGAAAACGGGATGAGATTCCACACCGAAACGTCGTGAGAACTTTTTTTTAAAAATAATCACGATGGAAAATTTCCGCAATAGTCTTTTAAACTAACGTAAACTCGCCATAACCAATCATATACTAAAACTATTTGTGTATTTAAATTGATTTTGTACATGTTTGTATTTTTGTATTAGTGTATAAGTATATACAATATAGGTATGTGTGCATGTATGTATGTATCTTTGGTTAACTCAGTTTAATGGTGTTTGTGTGTGTGGGAACGGCGCGTGCTGGGGGCGGCAGGGTCTAGAAGTAGCCCGGTTTTGGGGGCGGCACGGTTTGAAGGCGGCGTGGTCTGGGGGAGGTAAATTCTGGGCATGGTCTGAGACATTTGTTTGTGTCAATCAACACGAGTAAACAAATAACGACATAAAGTCACGGTAGCAAAAAACTAACAAAGCTTATAACATTTGGGGTTAATATGTCTCCTCACTTTTTTACCCCTTATAGACCCCCATGTCTATTTTTGGATTGAAAATAATTCCCCTTCGCTTTCCTACGTTTCAAGTTCACAAAAACACACTCCATATTAGAGACGAGGATCCATCATGTCGGCAGTGAACAACAAATTAGAGAAACTTAAACATAACAGCTTTGGAAGAATTGGAAACTATAGTGTTTTCAGCTCATTTACTTTTTGTTGTAACATCGCACATATCTTTAAAATTCCTGAGTGGTTGAAAAATACAGAATCCTACCGATGAATTTTGGAAGAAAAGCGGAGTACAAGTTCCTCGGTGTGAAAATTATATCGGCGGCGGCGCGCGAATACAACTGAAGGACTTGATTGCTTGAATGATTGAATGAGGATAAATGCAATTGTGATATAATACAATGAAGGTGATAATCTATACCACGCAATGAAATCAAAATCGATCGACAATTAGTAACTAAGACAAATCCCCTAAACTCTCAGAAAATAAAAACCATCCTTAGGCTAAACACATTAAATGATTTCTAAACTTTTCTGCACACGATTGATAACATTGATATGAAATAAAGCACCAATGCAACTTCAGTTGTATTACAAGCAAATTAAATGTTTCGCCTACCTTTTTCAGGGCTAGGGGGTGGAGATTTCATGTTGATGCTGTAATCCCGACGGCCCGCGCACAACTATAGCTACCAGCGCTCGCACTAGGGTCTGTTCCAGACCGGAACACCAACACACACACGCACCGCAAAAAACCACATTGTGAGATGTGTGACAAAAACGGCGTTGATTATAGTCGGCTTAGCCTATATACTATATTTGTTGTTTCATTAGCAAACCTTTTTTTGTGAAACGAGTGAATAGGGAATATTGTATCACCATCATAAGTAACGTTTTTAAATAAATTAAGTTATCCTATCCGCTCGGTGAAGAAGAACCATAAAAAGGATTGTGCAAGGTTCTCCCTCTGGATCAGACTGTGGCAATGTTTCGCTCCTCTCCTTACATAATAATTAGCCTACGTTATTTATATGATTTTAAGTGTTCTCATTACAAATGGTAAATTAAAATTAGAAGTAGTTATTTATTTGTAATTGCTACGTAATCAGCATTGTTAGGGTATGATTATAAAACAATTTAATATTGAAAATATTTGCAAATTGTAATAAGGACAGTAAAAGGAACAGTGAAAACTGTGAAAATACTTTCATATGGAAATTGACAGATTGCACTCAGTGAAGGATCCCTAGCCTGTATTAGGGTGTATACAATGTAAATATTAAGTAGAATTTGTCTTAGATGGCACCATTTTTGTGCTAATACTAGTTTCTGAGAGCAATCTGTAGATTTTCATCAGAATTATTAGCAGGTATTTACACCATTTCCAATGGATTGGTACGAATTTGATTCTGGTGAATCTGAAGGTATTAAAGTTGAAGAAACAGAGTTGGGTATAAAAAGTGATGGTTTGGGTTGGGTATGCCATTGAAGGCAGTAAGAAGGTAGTTATTTTGGATGACAGTGGTCTGTGAAATGAGGATGCCTAACGTTTTTTGAAAGATCCAGAGGACAGTATCGTCAGTTAAATGACGATAGCACTGAAGGTGTTAGGGGAGTCAATAGGAATATGAGATGGAATGTCACAGATGTACAGGAATGTACTGAGGATGGAACCTTGCAGGACATTGCGTGTTAGGTGAAAATGTGGAGAGGGTGCCTTGAAAGAGCATCTGTGCAGTGCGACCGTCAAGAAAGAGAATAACCCAGCTATACACAGATGGATTTTCACATTTAGTCCATTATGCCAGACAGTATTGAAGGCCTTTTGGAAATCCATGAAGGCATGTAATAACCAACAGGAGCTGCTCGTACATGTTGACTATGGGACGTAAACTGGGAGATATGGAGAAGGATCAGTGAGCTCAGGGAGATGTATATCCTAGTGGCAGAGACTTTGTTTAAGAGTTTCCAGAGGGGGGAAGTAAGGCTGATAAAGTGATAAGAGTGGTAGTTCTTAAAATGTTAGTGGTCTTTGTGGGGTTTGGAGGAGAGGGTATAAAAAGAATGTGATTCCAAGAAGGATCTCTTGACCAAGACGGAAGAAGAAGGTGTAGTATCCTGTGAAGGGTAATGAAGATGGGAAGGTTTTCTTGAGGAGAAAGTTTGACAACACAGATAATTTGACATGTACACACGTTTAAAAGTAGTTTCCAAGAATAGATCTACAAAGAGACGTACAAATATGCAATTGAGGCATAAATAGTTTGGAGGAGGCAAACTACAGGGGAAGAGGTACATATGGATAAAGATATAGACAATGAGGACGGCCATCGGTGTTCAGTTTCAATAGTGTTAATATCTCTTAAAAGGGTTTATCTAGCAGACTTAAATGCCACAAATTGCAATAAAAAAGGATGATCTAGTACAAAATGGCAGCTGTTTAAAGGTTTACTTGGTTACATTTTATTGGTAGTCACAACACCATTAAAGCAAATCTGCAAATAATAAATACTTCACTAAATATTACAGCTAAATGCCGGTAGCTAAATGCTATTGCATGCTAAAATGCCTGTCAATACAGAAATGAGTTATGATGTTAGTTATCCTCAAGGGTTACAAATTTGATCATAATTTATTGATAACGGAGAAACCCTGGTAACAGTAATAATTAGAAAGATCTTGTCTTTGGGTCCCTGTTTAGACTTTCCTATTAGCCAGTCTATTCATAGTAGGCTATTCTATTTTTCTGTTTTAGTAGTACTGTCCAATTCTTTCTGTTAGTGCGCGTTGGTACAAAAGATTTTGTTGTATTGCTTGTAGTTCTTCAACTACACTATGTCGATTGACGAACGTGAATTTATAACACTTCTTATAATGGTTGATTGGACAAGAAAGCGTGTCATTTATTTTAATGACTGCTTTCCCGAGAGGCAGCCATTTTCTAGAACAACTGTAGGGAGACCTGTTCAACACTTTAGGGAAACAGGAAGTGTTTCCGAACGTCGTAGGTCAGGAAGATAGATCACAACGAAATTGATGTAAACAATATTGTGTTTTCAGACAAGTGTTCATATATATGCTGAATGGAAGCGTAAACAGTGTCAATAGCCGTTACTATGGAAAAGCCAGAATCCTCAGTGGATGCGGGAGGCACACACGTAATATCCGCTAAAGGTGGATGTGTGGCTTTCAATTAAATTAGATTAAATTATTAAATTATATTAAATAAAATAATTAAATTAAATTAAGAAATATCAAATATATACCCTAGTTGAAAACCAAAATTCATATAAAATTAAATACTCACCAGTGAATATTCAGATGACATGTGATCTCGGTATTCATCTTATTTCTGGAACAATATAAACTTTAAACAGTACTTGTGACAGGAGTAATGTCTATAGTTTATGTTGCTGTAGCCCAAGACATTAAAATGTATTAGAAAAATAATTAATTAAATTGAACAAGAAAATATTCATGATTACAAACACATTAACAGGTTTAGAAGGAAATACACATTGCCAATCAAAATAAAATACTCTGTAAGCAATTTTAAAAGAATAGGTCAACACAAATTATCTGAAAATCATGAAGATTATTTATAATTTAAAAGTTTGTTAAGTGAACAAGTTGTTTCATAAAAAGTCTTCAAAGGACATTTCCAGCCCTAAGTTAAAGAGGTAAACAAAAAACTTAAGCCTACATTAAACAAAAACTGTTTCATTTTTCATCATGCTATTGTAATAACTTTGACGAAAGCATTTTGATCTTTGAGGGACCTTGTGACAATTGTTTTAACCTATTGGATATATGTAGACATACACACGTGCCTTAAAATAAAATTAAAACAAGTACAGATAATTCAACTAACCTAATAAATATAAATATACTTTTGGTTGTTCAAAGTCACAGATTCACTGAGCTAAAGGAAACTTCATATCACTAACATTAACTTGGCACTGATTAACACAGATTGTGTTACAAGTCACATTGGCTGTCCAGACTATCTCTCAGTAAATCTAATTCAATCAGATTAATAAATATGTCAACAAAACAAAAGTTGACCTGCCGCAATGTCATTTATAAGTAATTTGTTCTAAACTTCATCAATTGAACAAGATATATAAGATTAGGAATCGAAAACACAAACATCAAAGTAGTAATGATGGGTGAAACCATTTATTTAAAACACTGTTTTTTTTTATAAGTACTTGCATATGATAACCAATGGTGTAGCTATGATTTTTTATAAATCATAAATCGGTGCTTGATCTGTTTTAGAGTGCATAAACAATAACAAAAAAAAACTTCAAATGAACCCTAATTCCCACCACTACATCATAACGAGCTTGGCAGGAAAATGTACTATCATCATTTTTGGAGTGCTTTCTTATGACATCTATAATTAGTCAGTTTTCTATCATAATGTGTTTACCATGTACAGTAGACTCCCTCTTATCCGGACACCTTTTAACCGGGCATCGGTTTAACCGGACTACACTCGGCGGAAACTACCTGTCTTTAACCGGAAAATTGTTATCAGCACATCAATTTAACCGGACTAGATCGGCAGAAAGTGGGCGGTTACGAAAGGACTGTTCTCGTGGGAAAGATTTGAGACCAGCAATCACGTGTCTAAATACAATGCTCTTCCTAAATTTAAGTCAAATACTGTATACAGTATGCATTTAAAAGGTCCGTTTTAACAAGTTTTTGGGGATGTCGGTTTAACCGGAAAACCCGTTATCCGGACTGGCATCGGTCCCGAGGAGTCCGGATAAGAGGGAGTCTACTGTATAGCATGTGTTTACCATGGCATTGTTAATATGTTTAATCAAAAACATGCCAAGCAACATTACTCAAAAACTGTTCTTATAACCTTATAAACGCCTTATAAATGGATGTGGATACAGCTCACTATGTATGTATAACACTTTCTCAATTTCCTCTCAACCGGCAATAAGATTTATAGATGGTGAAATGCTCTGAGATAGAGATACAACTGGTGGTAGCACTGAATGAGAGAATTGTGAGATGTTGGCCCCTCATTTTTTACTAAGGGATCAAGTACATTGTACATGGGAATTAGGGGAATAGGGGATTGGAATAAAGCTATGAGCCAATGAACTGGTTAAATCCCCTAGTTGGTACCATCATCAAACATTTTTACAACTTCTTAATAATCCGGCAGAGTTACCGTGCCAGTGCTACCTTCAGTTGTATTTATAGTTCAGAGGTGAAATATGTAATTAGGATAGGTTGAGTATTTCCACCAAGCTACTATTAAGTAGGAGTTATAGTGAGTTTATATGACAAAAAAACAGCTATTTAACACATAACACTAAGACGCAGATCACGCTCCGCAACACTAGCGCTGGACGAGCAGGCCCGGATCCGCGCCACTACCAGACTTGTATTTCATTGCTACAGTGTGAGCTCAGCTTTTACGGGTGAGGTTCGTATTACTTGTGCGTGTAGGGCAGTTCCTGCCATTTCATCATGTGTTCACCGCGTCCCAATCTGTCGACTATTGCAGAATATTTTATTGTTTCATTGTGTGTATGTAGCATAGTTGGAACAAAATTATTAGCATTTTCAGCAGTCAATGTTTTAATCAAATCAAATAAAAATAAATCATAAAGGAATAAAAATTGAAGGAATATAATTTAGAATAGGTATGAACTGTTTTTTTTTTCTACTAAAGAGAGTTAATAGTTAGAGATAATAGATAGTAGCCTACTTTGCCAAGTAGTAGTTATTCACCACAAAAATATTCATTCAATCATTTGAAAAGGATTAGTTTTCTGCTCTTTCTTTATAATAACTTAAGTTAATTTTAAAAATTTAAGTAAATGGCAGGCTGCTGATTTGTAGGCTACTAATTGTTGTCTACTTTTATTAGAATTCATAAAACACTTTTCCATTAAATTAAATTATGCACTCTATGTTGGGATTATTGGGTAACTTTTACTCAATAAATAGGAATAGAAATGTCTGTTTTGGTGAGCCATCTCAAATTGCATGAGGTTAACATTTTGTCACACTGATAAAATGAATGCAGCCAACTTTTATGCCAACAACACAAGAACATATTTGGATGAACGTTAAAAAAATGTTTCAGAAATTGGCCTAGATAAAATTTCCTCATTTCGTAAGGCTATTTGAAGTAAAGTAAGAAACATATAGAAATGTGCCAGTGCACTACCGATGAGAGAGGGGAGGCTTCAGTGCCAGGTTCAAATCCCGCCAATCACTAATGGATTTTATCCATGTGATGATGCTGCAATCCACTAGTACTAGCCTAAGGTAACGTGTAAAACAGTTCCGGGCTAGAACTAGCGTCCTAGGATGTGAAGGTGGGACATACAAAAAAATTAATAAAATACTACCGGTATCAATGAGAGAGGGGGAACGTCTGGGCACAGAAATCTGTGCTGATTCGCTCACCGAGTGATTTCAATGCTGACAGAACTGGTGTGTGTTACCCCAATAACAAGCAGGGTAAGTTATCATTTTGTCGTTGCACAGTTAACTTATCGACCAGCCAGCAGATGAATGGCTGGGGTGTATTGAGCTATTTTTTGCTTATCCTTGATATGTGTTTGTCCACCAGAAACCTGTTTTAAAATAGGCCTAGCCTAACTTGGATTTTTGAGTTAATATATGATCAAAATAGACATAATTAAGTTTTAATTTTTAAATAATTCATAGTGTTCAGTTCAGAGTCAACAAAGAAGTAAGTTACCCTAATCAGTACTAATTTGTCGGTAACTTAGTGTTTGTTGAATATTAAAGGAATGGTAAATTTGCAAATAATGATTAAATATTTCGCCAACTTACCAAAAGCAGTTGATTTTTTATTTATGCTAGTCCATAGTGATAACACATAACCTCAAAAAACTCATATCAACTACTGGTAACAACAACGATAATCATAAATTGGAAAAATGCTGAATTTACCTATTAAGTTTAGAACTCAACATTATCTCTTTATTCTAGTCTCATTTTTGAGTTCTGAAGAAATAACTTACAACAATACACAAAGAGATTATTTTTGACAGATGTCATCGCTTTGTTTATTTTGCTAGTTAACACATGATGACACTTAAATTTCTTCTTGCACAAACACAAACCACGGACAACGAACACAACATAGTCCATAGATTACAAAAATAACAATGAGTCTTAAGCAGAATAATTTCGTCGATTAAATATCCTCACAATGTTTAAATTATCTATAATAATGCGCTGCTTTAAAATAGCCCCAATTACACCAAACTACAGACCAGTCTGTGATCAAACCTAATGCCAAATGAGTTAAACAGTAGATTTAAGACAGTTTTAATCCTTCATTACAAAAATAACAATGAGTCTTAAGCAGAATAATTTCGTCGATTAAATATCCTCACAATGTTTAAACTATCTATAATAATGCGCTGCTTTAAAATAGCCCCAATTACACCAAACTACAGACCAGTCTGTGATCAAACCTAATGCCAAATGAGTTAAACAGTAGATTTAAGACAGTTTTAATCCTTCATGAGAGAGTTTTCAAAGTAGGTTTTCAACAAGCATATAAATATCTAATATAGCTGGGTAAATAGGAACCCTCCTCGTTTGCAAAAAGACTGTTATGTATTTCATGAATCAGGAGCTCCATTAATCTTAGTTCATTCCATCATAACTTTGTAATTCCTCATAGCTTTGAGTTTGACCATTATAACGTAGAGTTTTAAGTCTTTTATTACCCCTCTCAATTTATTAAGTTACCTGTTAATTTTTTGACAGCACTGAGTTCTTGAAGTCCATTAGTTCACTAATACGCATTTCGCCACAAGGTTTGGCATCTTGAGAGTTAATTACTACCTTCCAGCTAAATGCGCATAAACTTAAAAAACTCAAGGTAGACAACAATATAAAAGCAGGTGTATTTTCAGGATAGTGTTATAAAAAAGTTCTTGAAACTAGGGTAACATTATTTAAATCTTAAATGTATGTTATCATAGATAAATGTTGTCATATACGGTGGTTTCAACACTTTCTAGATACATATATATTTGTCTTAGTGTGGTAGCATAGACTGCGCAGGTATTTTTTTAGTAAATACTGTACTTTTTTGTTATCCCAGATTCGAGAGCTTGAATTATTATTAGATTTACCTTTGTTTTTGTTGACACAAACATTTTACCTGCTTTACACTGTATAATTAATTTTGTTCCACGTTAAATTGTTTTGCAATGCCTGTTATAAGTTAAGTTTACTTTTATTTACACAATGCACTTTTTCTATTTAACTTCCATTCAAAACGGTTTTCATTGTTTGTTCTTGTTAAATCGTTAAATGTTTACAATATTAGCCAACCTGAGTTTGTACTATTTGATTTTTATATTTGTAAAATGGAGATGTCCGTTGGAATGTATAAATAATAAGTCGAATTATTAATTCCTCCAAATTTACCCTTTTGCACGTGTCAAAAGAACTAGTTTCACTAGATGCTCACATGATATATATAAATATATACATTATAAAATAATAATACACACGCACCTCGACATGTATAGTGAAATAACTATTGCAGTGTTAATGTCATGATTATTTATGGATTATTGGGTGAAAAGGGGGACATTAAGGTAAAAATAAGAGTTAAATTTGATATTGGGTCTTGCGAGTGGCAACAATAAGTATTTTTGGTCCTTTATAATCTACGGCTTAGTTCCTGCTCATGCACTGGTTTGTCCTACTGTCAGTATTTGAGTTGACATGACAAATACTTATTTTGGGCTGCTGACCCTTTTTGTTTTCGATTCCATTGATATAAAAAGCAATATAAGGCGAAAGTATCCCTCCAATCCAATCTCCATCTAGGTTAACAACTAAAACTAACCCCTCAACCTCAACCCTTGTCACAAAAGTCAGAGTAAATAGTTGAGTTTGAGTTGTTATCAGTGCCAGATAAGTTAAGTTTATGGAATATTTGGTGCAGTTTACAATGATTTGAGGAATCCAAGTTGACTCATACAGTATATGCTACTGCTTATCGACTACATTAAGTGTGTTTAAATATTTTACAATGGTTGACAAAGGCCCTAGTTTCCAACAAGCTAGAACATTGGTCTATAAAACTCATCCGATTTCTGAAGATTACATCATATCCGCCAAAGTTCTTGGGCAAGGTATAAATGGTAGTGTTGTTCAAGTAAATCTCAAGAAAACCGGAGCAGTTTATGCCTTGAAGGTGAGGTATTTTTCACCTTTAATTATTTTTGAGTTTAACTTTCTGCTTCAAATTTTTTTTTCTACCAATTTCTTTAAGAAGTAGGCTAAAGTAGACTCCCTCTTATCCGGACTCCTTGGGACCGAGACAATTCCGGATAGACCTATTGATTTTTCCGGTTAAACCGACGTCCTCAAAAAAACTGTTAGAACGAAAAGTTTATTGTGATATTCAAGACACGTGATCACTGGTCTTAAATCTTTCCCACGAGAACAGTTGTTTCAGTACCGCCCACTTCCTGCCCATCTAGTCCGGTTAAACCAATGTGCTGATAAAAAATGTCCGGTTAAAGAGATGTCATTTTCGCAGAGTGTAGTCCGGTTAATCCGATGTTTAAAAGATGTACGGTACGGATAAGAGGGAGTCTACTGTATCTATTTTTTTTCTAATTCAACACATAAATTATACGATAATAAAATTGGCGATAGCAATATATTATACATGCACTTGCTTACATTGATCCTTTTGCATATTCATTGGCCATCATTCATACTCTGGTAGAGGGAATCGTCCTAGACAGTCTAGCCTAGTTTATTACAATAAGAAACACACACATAAATTAAAACTATAAGCTACCGTACATTTATATGGTGGGTAGGCAGCAGACGGCACAAAAGATGTACCGTCCCGCTTTAGATTATCCTCAAAGAAATCAGCTAGGCCTAGGTTAAGAAATCAGCCTACTTTGTTATGGTATTTTCATCATCAAGTCTCTCACATGCATACAGTCCGACCACCAATTCTTGGGGTACATTGGGGGTTATCTGCACTCTTGAAGAGGTTTCATTGAGTGATAATAACTGCTTACGATCTGCCAAGGAGCCACTCAAATACTGTGTCCCCGATTCCGAACTTTGTAAGCTTGGTAAAAAAAAAAGTAACTAGCTATATCTCACGGAAAATAAACACCATTATCGTCTTCCGCAATCATGGCAAAATATTGAACATCTCTGCGGTCACTGAGACATCATCATCGTCACCCGCAGAGAAATATTCTCGTAGATATCCGCGATCGCGGCAAATGCGTCAGCTAGGCCTAATCTTTCAATTTCGTGACATGATCCTCGAGGACATAAAAGCTTTTAATTTTAATTGGGCATTATTGTATTGAGTACCTACTGATAAAATCGTCTCGAGCTTGATTTTCTGGCTTTGTCCTTGATCCCTCAAACTTGTAGGCCAGGCTCTGCTTGGCTAAAAAAGTGACATTATATAAAAATCAAGTTTCCAAAGCAACCCGATTTTGAACCGATCTGATTTGGCCCGAGGCCCATAGGTACCTAAGTAACAATTTTTACAGGACTCGAAGTAAACAAATCTCAAGTGCAGCATTCTAAGTTAAAAGTAAGAAATTAAATGAAATGAAAATCCTTCTTTAGCATCATTGAAAGAATGGAATTATTTATTAGGTAGTGCCTTACTAGCCACCTAGGTTAATTCGCCGATTTGATCGTAAAAAAATTTTCAAGTTCATTTAGACGAATCAGCATAGAGGGCCCTCTCTGGTGTGACTTGCCGGGGGCTAGGAGGATTAACATTAATGTTTTATCCTCCTTGGCTGGAAGCCACGTTGGTTCTAAATACGACACTATTATAGCGTCTTCACACAGTCCACGAGGACAGTTGATGCAACCTGCATGACTGATGACAATTCTTACTTAGGTTGGTAGAGAATTTATAGTGATCGGTCAAGTAATAGTGTCAGTTTAGCTGTTGTAAACAACTTGTTCTAGTGCTCTTAACAGGTCTTAGAGGTGTTACAAATTTTCGTAATGAAAAACGTATGGTGATTCTCATGCTATGATAGGTAAATATTGTTATGATAGGGGGCCCGTGTGGCTGAGCCTGTCGCACAATCGTTGGCCCGTGTAAAATTCCCCGAAAAAATCCCAGTCAAGGCTCTTGGCCCCCCCCGCACCGCCACTGAACGTGTCAATGAGCTTAAAAGGAATGTGAAGCTAAAATGACAAGTATTTTTGAAGGTAATTTTGCATTTGCCACTTTAAGGTCAGCCCAATCCCAATCAGGGTTAAAATTTGTGTTGTCCTGATCTTTAAGATTTATTTCAAAGATTCACATGCTTACAGCTAATTTTCTTTCCTATTGAAAAAAAAAAAAACTTGACAAGTGAGAAAAGTGTACTGTAGCCTATACACATATTTTTACAGGTGTCCATCCAACCTGGGCACCAAGAATTGTACCGTACGGTACTTGAATTTGGCATGGACCAGGGATTAAAATGATCATCAATTGCCAATAATCCTCAAATTCATTGACGGAGTTCCATTGGTTCTCTTTTGATACCATATAGAAAATCACGATCACTGGAGATCATCACAGTATTACTGCACAGTAATAATTTCCATGATGTAATACCGACAGAGATGTTCACAGTGTGGTCTTGATTATGGGAGACGATCACGGTATCGCCGAGATAGCAAAATATGCTCGTGAGTGTTGCCTAAGTCGTGAGTGATGACTATGGTATTGCCGAAACTGCATATATACTTACGGGCAGTGTCACGATCGCCGGACACAATCACAATTTCGCCGAGACCGCAAGATACGCTCACGAGTTGCTGCAACTTGACGATCATCTGTGTATACCATCATATAGAAATAATTATTTCTCGTTAGGCCTTTGTAGGCTGGATAAAATCTGCTTGCGGGCCGGATGTGGCTTGTAGGTAATAGGTTGGAGACCCCTGCTCTTAAGGTATCTGGTACAACACTGATGAGACTCATTACAGTACTGTGGTGCTGAGGATGTTGAGCAGTCACTCCTATAGCATTGGAAATCAACAAACCGTTATCTATGTATTCTCTTTATTTAAATCAAGAATGCCTGTTCTCGGTTCCGGGCATTGGAGAGTAGGTGTTGTTCTTGTAGTCCTATGCTGACATTTGTCTCTTCCCTACGGTCTCAAGCACCTTGTAGAAGACAGGCAGGATATAAGATGGGTCAATAGTTTTGCGGGTCTGGGGGATAACCATTCTTGAAGTCGGGATAGTCCTTGATAACTACTGGTATTAAATTATCCCAAACCTTGATTGCTGGTTGACAGGATAAACTTTAGGTAGACATGGCTTTATGATTGTCCGGTCCTTGTGTAGAAGCAAGTGAAGTAAAATTAGCTCATATCATTAGTGCCTCAGAATTTAAAAATGTTTTGGCTAGTTTAAGGGGAAAAGGTGTTGTATAAAAACCTAAGCTTTTAGAGATTTTAGGAGGATACAACATATGCTATTGCTAATATGAGATTATATTTATCTGTAAATAAACTGTGTTTGAATCTGTTGTGTTATGACATTCTTAAATTTTTCTGAATGCAGATCCTGGAAGACAATGCAAAAGCCCGGAGAGAGGCTGAGCTGCAGTGGAGGGTAAGCGGATGCAAGCACATCGTCAACGTCATTGATGTCTATGAAAATTACTACAAGCTACATGGGACTATAAAGAAATGCCTTCTTGTAGTTATGGAGTTGTAAGTACTTGCACATTTTTATACAGTCTATTTAAATTAAAAATTCCAAAGATAATTGCCCCGAACTTAAAAAAAACCTAATAAAATTTGTTGATCACATTCACACAGAGGATATAGTTGATAGGTAAATTATGGTGTAAACCAAACTGTGAAAATCATATGCTGAAACCTGAACCCATTGTGCCTAATTGTATTAAATTGCTACCCCATTGAAGCTCTGTAACCACTAAACTATTAGCATCCCAATAGTTATTTCTAATTACCTTTGTTTATGGTTATTTTACATCTGAGAGGAATCCATTACATACACTTAGGGCTGCATAGGGCGCTTGTCAAAATAGTTTCCCTATGCACATAGGGGCTACAGCCTATTGGGACTTGGACTACCAGTGGCATTTCTTCCGCCTAGCAGGGTCCTATTTTCTTGGGAAAGAACTTCTGTCCCTATATTCTCGATCATTCCCCTGGATTACTTCTAAATCTCAGTTATCTTGCCTTAATTCAATGTTACTATGCCTGATAATCTCCCTGACCAGCTCAGACACCATATTCTACTGACAAACGCATACTTCCAACATCCTGATTACGTTGTTATTACAGTTAGAAGGTTTTAATTACTTTATAATTATCTTTCCAGAATGGAAGGTGGAGAGCTTTTTGCACGGATTTCAAATAAACCAGAAGGATCATTTACAGAAAGAGGTAAGTTTCAGTAGCTTATGAATTACAGTATAACCTTGATATAACGAACCTCGATATAACAAATTCCTTAATATAACAACATTTTTTGAATCCCCTAGAACTCGCCATAAGACACAATGTATGTTTTACCTCTACATAACGAACAAACCATATCAACGACCTTGATTTAACGAATTGTTCATGATCCGGCTAAAATAAGACACCTCAATATAACAAATTTATCATTGTCAGAACCTCTATATGGCGAATTAAACCTCTACTTAACGAATTGTCTGTGTCTATCCCTCGATACAACGAACCCCCCACCCCCATTATTGTTTTTGAAAAATCAGTTTCTTCATCAAATGAAATGGAAAGGTGACGTCATCGCTCACGCTAACATTCGTCTGCTCCATTTTAACACATCACTGTCTGCCATCTGCTGTCGTCGCTGCATGCGCGCTATGTTACAACTGAGTACTGATTTCATTCACTGACAGGACTGATGACGACGTAATGTGTAGTAAGCTGTGATTGGGTGATAAGTAAATATAGTGAATTGTACAATTTTTGGATGAAGAGAATCCTAAGAAAGAAAAAGAATAGAAGAACAAAGCAAAGAGAAAGAATAGAAGCATCGTTATCTTAACATTCCTTTTACGAGTGTTTTTATTATCTTTAAGTTGGCTATGATTATTCACTTTTATAACGACTTATCTAATAATTTTGTTATTTTCAATACGATTTGTTTAAACTAAGGCAACACCAATGCCATAGTTGATGATTATTATAGTATTGACATCCCTCTGTTATGATTTAAAGCAGTACTGTAGCCTACCGGCCTATCACGAGCAGTAGCTTACAAAACTCTCTAAGTCTCTACTGTTTTGTTTTGTTCATTACGTGGTTTATTGCTATACAATACAGTGTTTGGCTAGATTTTAGGTGGGTTAGAGTAAGCTGTGATTTTAAACTTACAGTTTGTAACCTGTAGGCTACCGTCAATGAATAGAAATGTCATGATTGCGCAATATTAAAGATCCCTATCCTTTAGTACCCCAGATAATCGAGGTTCTACTTTACAATGTTAACACTGTACTGTAAAGTATTGTAGCTTAGGCTACTTTAATTGTGTTTTATTGAGGTCAAATCCCGACCTATATTGACTGATGCTGGTTCTGAACCTCGACTTAGCGAAATTCCCGCAAACCTAACCTCAATATAACGAACCTCGTTTTAACGAAATCCTTGATATAACGAATATTCAGTTTGGTCCCTTCAGATTCGTTATACTGAGGTTAGACTGTATAATCGTCTTTTTTCTAACTTTACCACACTTTTAGCATTAAAAGGGATAAAATGTTTTACTTTAGTAAAACTTACATTTTATCAAATATAAAAGTTGTGGAAACCATTTGTATCCAGTGCAGTGTTGAAATACTACTAAAAGAAGATAAGAAGGCCTGCACACAATGCTGGAGTGAAGTGGTATTTTCCCCTTTAGTAGATAGTCTAGGTGTGTCCCCTAAATTACATGTGTACCCATATAGCTTTGTGCTTATCTTAATTTTACTCTTATCTTCACATATGTAGTTTACAGTGGAGTGATGTAATTGAATATCACTGCATGTAACATTTAGTTCAAATATAAACATATTATAAATAATGGTGTTTTAATTTGATCTGATATGTTTTATTAGATAATTGGTTTCATTCTTCACTTTAAAAATTTGTTATTGCAGCTTGCTTATTTTATACACATTGATGTAAGGTGCACATTTGATGTTTGTAGCTAGGTTGTATTTATTGACTATCCATTAGATATAAATAATTGATCATCCAAAGCCACATAGATTAAATGTCTAGGAAACAATTAAATTCTCAAAAAAAATTTGCTGAAATAAAAATAGCGTGTATTTACACTCACATGATTTATTACACATTTTTAGCTGTTAAGGAAAGGGGGCTATAGAAGGGAAACTTGTTGGAACCGATAATTTTTTTAATTTAATGTATCGGACTATAAATTAAGTTTTGAAATGTGAACTCAATAAAAAATGAAAAAAAAAACAATCTGGACTTAAAAAATTGCTCTGCTATATCAATATTAAAATAACAAGATAATTATGAATTTCACTTCAACACAGGTTTGTATTTAGGATCTTTGAGGCCCCCGGCAGCTTCACTATGGTTCTTTTGGGGCTGGAACTTTAGGGGTTTAGAAATACACGTGGTATTGCTTCAACTCAATTAACTCGACCCTTTGTTTTTGACGATCCGATCAGGAAATAAGACGTAGGAGACTAGAAGAATAGCTGATAAACTATTTCTTTTTATTTGTTAATACATCAGACCCCCTTGCATAACTGGATTAACGACCTGCAAATTGACTACCATTGCAAAAAAAATTATGCAAGTAAATGTACGTTTACAGACAGGATGTTTAGCATGAGGAGGGCCATCATCTCAGTGGCAAACAATAGAGATACTGTTGTTTACTTCACCGACCACCGATGAGTCACCAATGGCTTATATGCTCACCAATATTATCTGTTTTAAAAATAGAATTATTTTTCTATCATGACTTGACAATACAGTGCATATACTAGACTGCTACTCTCTGTAGTTTTTTCCAACTTAGGTTGTGTTTTGTACATTGTTAGTTGTAATGTAACTTTAATGCAAGTTGTTTAGTATATTGATAGTCACCCTAAGGTTTTTTTTCACCTGAGGACGGGATCAGATTTCAGATCCCCCAAAGGTTGTGTATTGTATTTTACCTTTGTGATGAAAACTGTCCGCAATAAACCTTTAAACAACTTTTCAAGTAGCTTTGAAAAAAAAACTTTAAACAACGATATTTTCCTATAGTTAATCCAACAAAAAATCTAACCCTTCTTAAAAGTTGGTAAACGCTTAAAAGTTTAATTTGATTTGGAAATGTGACCACAAAGAAAATTTTTTTAAAAATATAGTTAATATTGGGGTAATTTGGACCAATATTTTTTTTAACAACAAGGAAGTAATGTCATGGTTCCCAGAGGATTTTCCTGGTGTCTAGCTTGGTATTATATTAAGTTCTTTTCAAAAATTTGACATAACAATATTGAATTGCCTATGGGTTTACTACTAAAAAGGTAATCTTAACTTGTAATCTGGAAAATCTTGTAAAGAAGATGTCAATGCCAGAAAGCATTAGAAAAAACTTTTGAATTCTCTAGAGCTTTCTTTAGGATACGATACCTTTGTCTTATTAAGCATTAAATTTACTTTAGGCCCCTTTTCACTGCCACTAAATTCACTTTTTATACCATTTTCCAATATTGTTTTTAAAGAAAATATATCTATATTTAAATTGTAAAAATTTCAGAGTCTTGTGAACTCTCCACATCTTATTTTAATTGCTAACACACACGAACATTTCCAATAGTTGTCCATGGCTTAAGTTTTTTGATCTCACGACTTTTTGTTTCTCTAATCTCCTTTTGGATTTATTTATGCTACACAAGAGAATTTCTATTAATATATCAAAAGCTTCATTTACACCATGGGCAGAATAATATACAGGATCCCAAGTCTTATACCCATAATGAATGTAGTATATCTTGTAAGATATCGAATCAATGACATACTTATCTTACTTAACAATATGTTTACTAATAGACCCTACATAACTCAAAATCAATACTAACTCCTACACTAAGATTATCAGGCATGTTAAAATCAATAAAAAATAATTTGAATTTTAATGATTTGTTATTTCTATATAAAAATGATTGATGCAAGTTTATCTGTACCTAATCAGTTACTCATGTAAACGCATAAATCAAGTTGTCAAAGCCTGCCCGACTAATAACCTAAAAATAGCTATCAACCTCATCATTATTGATTTTAGTATTTTATATTAAATCACCTACTCATACAGCGAATTTGTTTTGAAACTTAGAAATTTGCTTTCCAAAGTTTGCAAGGAATTGTGCAGACTCAATTCCATGCTACCTTTCCTTTACATCCTTTCGTGGAGACTTCTTCATCGTCTCCCGTGATCTTGACAAAATTGTGGTTTATGATCGCAAATCTTCACCTACCCTTTTGGTGATTGTGAGAATAAAAGCTCAGCTTGAAAATCGAACCCCCTTACACATTATTGGGAAAATTCATTTTCAAGAGAAAAGTTTTCCTTTGGGGCCCTATGTGATGCATCCCAGGCCGAGGCCCCCCGGGAACTGCCGCGTTTGCTGTTATAGAAATATGGCCCTGCACTTGTTAGAAATTGAGTGTTTGAATCATCTATGAGCGTTTCAGTTTAAACTTAGTTCAGAAACAGTTTTCTCAATCACACCATGTTTTTCAGAGGCTGCAGAGACGATGCATGAGATTTGCATCGCAGTAAAACACCTCCATGACCTCAACATTGCACACCGTGATCTGAAGCCTGAAAATCTACTCTACACCACCAATGGTATTTTGTTATTGTCTTTATGCAAATAAGTTGAATCGTTGATAGACCAAATCAAACATGTAGGCTAATAGTTTGAGCTTACAAGCTGTTAAATTGTGGGCACTAAGGCACTTGTAACTAATAAATTGCTGGTTTGAATCTGAAGGAAACACTTTGTTTAGTTTCATATGAAAATTCTTGAAGCATAGTGTTAAAACCTGCTATAGTAGGTCTAGTAGTAGGCTCCATTGTAGATGTTAGCCTCCAGGTTGCCAAATAATATTAAAAAAGGTTCAAATAACTGTTATAAAGCAATTCAATGTTGTTGAAAACACAACTAGTTTCGGCTCGTATGTGGAGTCATCATCAGGTTGTACAGTGACGGTTTTCTTTCTTTTTCTGTACTCAAACCTCCGCCGGGTTAGCGTCGTCTGTTTTCTAACTGATCGGTTACCATAAATGTTTTGTGTTTGTATCGTGTTTAAATGTTTATTTATTATCTTTGTGTTCAATAATATGACGCTCTTCGTATGAAGAAAGAAAAGCGTCCTTGTACAACCTTGCCGAAACTAGTTGTGTTTGCAACAACATTGGATTGTCGAATAGCAGGTATTTGAAACTTTTTTACTGGTAGGCCTTTTAGGACTCAAATTGTACTTAAATCTACTATTTAGACCAGCAAACTCTGCTTATCAAATCAAATCAATCTTTATTCACTATACATAAAATAACATGTATTGAATAGAGTCAAATAGGCTATAAATACGTATAACTACATATTACAAAGTGCTTAAATTATATTACTAAGATTTACTGTAGAGAAAAAAATAAATTGATTGATAATAATCTTTAAAAAGTGAAACATTTCTAACTGAATATTTAAACAAAAATATAAGTTAACGTTGATTCAATCACAATAACATGAGCAGTTAATAAAATAAAAAACGTACATCCATTTTCCAAATAAAAATAAAAAATAAAAATAAATGTATTACTAATCATGGTGAAAATTTAAATTGATCCCCTAATTTTGCTATGGAATTCAAATTATGTAACTACTAATTTTAATTTTTTAGAAATTCTTCTATGGAATAAAATGGAAATTTGATTAAAAAGTCTTTTAGTGTTCTTTTAAATTTATTCAAATTGCCTTCTTTCTTTATATGAGCCGGCAGGTGTTGCAAAAAATTTAAACTAGAATAATAAGTTTTCTTTTTGAAAAATTCCAATCTATGTTGTGGTAAGTTAATTTTAAACCTAGTGTTATAGTCACCAGTATTGCTAGAAGTGGATGACAATTGAATTTGTTTTGCATAGACGGATTTTTCATAAAGATACAGACTATATACTGTTAGGATTTGTAACTCCTTAAAATATCTCTTAGCTGAATCCTTTTTTTTTTTGCAGTTTCATCATTAGACGAATAGCCCTCTTTTGTTCGATAAGGATAGAATCCAAATTGGTCTTTGATGTTGCTCCATAAATAGATATTCCATAAGATATGTGACTATGCAGTAATGCAAAGTATGTTATCCTCAAAGTGTCTATGCTGCAAATCTGAGACATCTGTCTCAAAGCACATTTTTTTATTATAAAGCACTTATTTTCATTATAAAGCTTGTTTATGAGTTATCAGTAATTCAGGCATTAATTGTCAGACCCTCCAACTACCAGGCTCAATCCCATCTTTAAAAAAATTTAGTTCAAAAGAAGTTGTATATGGGTTGTTCTATAATATTAAAGTACCTCTATATCGTTCTGTACCTTAATATGAAATTACATACATTACATTAATTGTTGTATCTAATATCTGAAGATTACGTAGTAGGTATAGTAATTTGTCATGAACAACACCAAACTGTACTACTACAGAACACCTGCTCATAATAAAACTCATATTCCTAGACAGTAATTATTTCTTGTTATTGTGCCTGTTAACTTGTTGCAGGAGCTTTGCTGCCTCAAATTCACTGGTGGTCCTCTTAAACTCACTAAATTTAAATGGTTTGTCAATCATCCAGCCTCTTCATAAATTTGGCCTATCTGCCACCCGTTTAAGCCAGATTATTAAGGCTGATCTGAACTTAAAAAAAGTTGGACAAACACAAAGAATTTTCCTCCCCCATTTAAAATATATCCAAAGACATGGAGTTTGTTGAATTATTAATTATCTGCTGTTGCCTACAACCTATGTACTGTTTAAAGTTGTAAAAGTTCTGGTTGTGAATTGATAATTGACATCCCGTGTGTTTCAACTTCAAGAAAAATTTATAAGTGTTTGGTTGAGGTTTATATTTTAATTCATTATAACATTTACAGTCTAGATATTGATGATTTGACTTGGAACCTCATTCATTTCAGACGAGAACGGGATTTTAAAACTGACTGATTTTGGGTTTGCAAAGGAAACACATTCAAAGCTTAGCCTCCAAACCCCGTGCTACACACCTTACTATGTCGGTAAGTCATGGTATAGTTTGCTAACTAGAAAATAATCTTAGGAAACTTAACTCTTCCTGAGCGTCAGCTGCAGGGGGAATAACTCACTACGCAATCAATAATTATGTTGGGGTTTAAAAAATTTTATTTTTTAATTTTGGTGGTTTTTTTTCTGATAACACATATCTGATAGTTGTTTATACGTAGACACTTTTTTAATCAAAATAATTGTTCCACAAGTTTTCTGACTATAATTGTTGTGGCTTATGTATAGGCTATGTCCAATGCTCACTAAGGGAATGCAATAATCCGTACCTATATATACGTTTAGCGCTTATAAATTTTGTTTAGGAAAAACATTTATTTTTAATAAACCATTGAAAAGATTAATGAAATAAAAAAAATCATGATAAAAACAATATGACTTCTTTATTATTAGGCCTAACAAAAGACAAAACTGGGTTGTCAGAAAGCTGAACAGTGTCGTCTCTTTCAGAAATGCTCCGATTCAGTAATTCTATTAGGTATATCTCCTACAAAATTTGAATCATTCAATCTAAACGTCATTTTCAATAAACAACACAACGCATTTTAATGTTAACTGAATATATTCCACTAAACTTGTCTCACTAGATTTACTTCACTTAAGAACATGTAAATAGACTGCGTAGGAAAAAATTACATTAGGATGACTCAGCTGGCCAGTTTTATAAACAACAGATGTTACGAGATCAGTGATGCCAACCCACTAATCAGAAATTTACCATGTACAAATTTAAACAAATTATCTCAACATTAATATTGATTAATGATCTAAGGTAACTGTTGAAGACCAAGAAACATCTCTAAAATACCTGAATAACGTTTGCATTTGACGTATATATGTTAGGCTTGTGACTTTCAGATTGAGTTTTGTATACATACGGCCAACGCTCGGGAAGGGTTAATCTAAAGGACCTTATCTTAAAATAAAATTTAAGGTCGGTTGGATAGAAAATGAATAATTCATAATTTTAAGGTAGTAGAACATATTAAAATGCTATAAAACATATATAAAGTATTTTATCATTTAAATAACCAGCTATTGTACTGTGAGTACTGTGATCTTAAAGTACAGGGAGTGACGTTATATTTTAGAGGAAATTCATGTGACTAGTTAGGAGTTTTTGAATTGGACTAGAGTTCAGCTAGTTTATTTGAGAAATCAGAGTACAGGGGCTTATATACACAATTTACAAATGCTTATTTCAACGTATTCTTTTGTTCTTTACTAAGAAGAAAACCGGAATTTTTAATTTGAAAACATTATTTTACAACCATTGGCTTGAAATGAGACGAGCGACAGACCTATAACATGTGGGAAGACATACTAACCTCCAAAATAAATGCCCATACACCTTTTATGAAAATGTTTAATCATTGTTATTTTATTTTACAACTATATGAACTGTTACAGGATGGTGGGATTCATTGTTGAAATGAATTCAAGATATTTACTAAGAAAGTCAGCCCGTCTTACCCACACTGTCAAAGGCGGAGGTTTTTACTTTCATATTCCATACAAAATCCTAAAACGGTAACATTCACAAATCCAAATAGTGTCTTTTGGGGACATTTGACTTCCTCGGCATATGCTTTTGGGATACATAAAGTTAGTTCCACTAGTGGTGCATGATTGATGATGTAGCATGTTGTCATACGATTGTATACGAACCTTTACATTCCAAACCTGGACATGCTTAAAGCTTTGGGTGTTAAATAACTCTTTAAACTCAACTTGTCCCATAAATTTGTAATATCCTATGTTAGAAGGAACGAGTTTAAGTTATTGACTTGACTTTTTATTTTTCCTAACAGACACATCTTAAGATCCCAGTTTGATTTAGATGTACTTTTTCGTAATTCTACTCTTTAGATGATAAATGTTATCTTTCTGGTTTTGATCAAAACGTTGGGTAGACCATTGTAAAAATAAGTGTTTTAAAGTAGCAACTGACCACCATATATACTGAACTAAGTGGTTTCACATCAACCTAACATAATATAATATAATAAAGGAAAGGTTAAAATACCTGTTGTGTTGTTGAGCGATCAAGGCTTTTTGTCAGTTGACAACTGGTTTTGAACCTATGGGTCCACTATCAATCTGAATACAAAGTTAATAAGAGCAATCCTATTCATTATTACTGTAAAGAAAAGTTGTCAAAACATATCTTCAGCCACGAAAACAAGGTCATTTAAAAAAAAATGGTCGAATAAAAAAACTTACCTTCTGCTGGCAATTTAATGGGCCATATGTGTTGTTTTCATTTGCAAGACTTTTGAAGTTAACTTGTTATTTTGTTATAAATAGATAAATGTACAGATATTCTTTGTTGTTTAAAAAATGTTTCTTCAAACACAAGGATTACAAGCATGGGCAAAAAAAATTTAAGAAATAATTAAACACAATTAATATGAATTATTCACCATGGGGGTTGTAAGCACTTCAGTAAAATTATTATTTCTTTTTTTGATACACTCTACCCTAAGCATCTTAACCTTTTACAATGCAAAAGTGAATGTTTTATTGAATCTGTTATTCTTCTGAACTATTTAAAAACTGTTTATCAATCTCCCAATTCTTTCTAAACGTATCATTTTGCCCTCCATGCCCTAAAGGCTGCCATCACGAGTGACATGTTAGAAATTCGATTCAAAGTAGGCGATTGAGTTTTTTCAAATGTGAAATATTATAAAAGCTCACTTTTTTATTTCTGATAAGATATTTCCGTTTATGACTTGAAGTGTCCATATTTATTTTTTTTACCACTGATTGATTCTGATGTCAAGAACAGTTTTAAGTTCTCTGCGACGTGTTTTTCCTGTATAGCCACAAATTTGCACAGAAAGCTCAGCCTACAACGGCTGGATGAAATTCCAGGATCCGCGATATTGGAAACCACTAGAGTACCCGTAACCCGGGTCTAACTGGTATAGAACTGGCTCATACACAGACACTGTGAACAAGTCATAACCAGTGACAAAACAGAAGTGCACTATCATGGTGGAAGTAAATAAGGTGTGCTACTCAGCCGGACGAGTTTGAGACCGTTCTGCGCATCGCGACGTAACGTCACCTTGGGGGCAAACCGCTTCGCGCGCGTATATAGCTCAGCGTGACACTGCTCTATTAACATCAACATTTTGAACTCTTAGAATTGAGGAAAAATTATGAAACTTGACATGGACATCAATTATAAGTGGACGATGCGTGTTGTGAAAAAATAGTTTGTAATTGTTAAAAAATAAGCGTGAAATCACTCTTTATACTTGGCCTTTCTTTAAACTAAACATGTAAAAGTTAGTCGGCTACCAAATCACGTACTATTTGGTTAGAAGCATTTGACCAGCGGGAAAGTTTTAGATAAAGATCCAAATTTAACTTTCCTTCAAACTATATACCGTTAGGGGCGTTATTTCCTGAGATATGCTAAGTTATATGAGCGCGTGATCGGAGCGCGTGCTGCGAGTCGAGTCAGTTGCCAAATACTAATCACACATTGCCATCCAACAAATAATGTAGTTTCATGAATATAGTATCATTGATATTTTTATTCCTGTATTTATATTTTTATGTGAAAAATTGTTGTTCTGTTGACTTCGGTGTGTTTTTCCCCGTTTGAATATGGGTTATTTCGTAATAGTTCACAGAGAATATATAATATTGTCTCCTCGGTGAATAGGGTTAACGTTGCAAAATTGCATTTAAAGTATTGCAAATCGTTGTTGATTAGTTAAAACCAAATTTTGCAAATAGTGGTTTAAATAATAAATGATCTTTAACGCAAAGGAATGTATTTAACATAGTATATAAAATAAAATGTACTCTGTTAAAAAAATAAGTTGGTGATTAAACATTGTATTTATAATCAGGTTAAAATATAAAATTGTTTCACTCTTGCAATACCATAATAATAAAATGTGATATTCCAGTTTAATTCAACAGCTAGGATCCTGTTTCACTGGGGTTGTTATCTATGTCGCAACTTTGGCTCGGGTGCGAGGGATGATCACGTGTTGTTTGTTTTGTTTTCGTTTCTGTGTTCACCGCGAGTTGCAGTAGAGATGTCAGTTTTCCATAGGGCACACATCTTTCTACAAAAATGCCCCATTATGCAGTGTACGGTTGTTGTAATAGTTCGAAAAATAAGAAAACACAACTAAACGTGCGATATTTTAGTTTCCCTCAACAAATCAATAGGAGGCTAAGACAATGCAATTTTGCTAGTGGCGAAAAAAGAAAATGTCTAAAGAAACTTAAAAAAGTTTAGAAAAATCCAGAGGTGATGAAATGTTTAATTTTTTAGATGTTTACTTTCAGATCGTAAATATTTTTATAAGATTGCAAAATGTAATAAACTATGTTTTTGGTTAAGGAAATGTTATTCATTTCCGATCCTACAAATTTTATGGCAACTGTTATCAAAGAGAGTTAATTTGTATAAAAACGAAGATGTTGCAACGCATTTTAATGTAAAACTTATTATATCTGTCACATGTTAATATTACATATTTCATTTAAAATGTAGAATACAAAGTATATCCTTATAACATGTAGCTACAGTGTTTTGAATAATAAATGCGTGGCCTTATTATCCAATAAACGGTGGCATCGGCTGAGCGCGCGCTCCGTTGCCGCTTGATATAATTTTTCGTAGCTAAAAAAGTAATTCTTTTATCGAAATCCAACCGATACTACAGTTAAATTAGAACCTTTCCCTAAAACTTTCCCGCAGGTCTCATAAACCTGACCAAATAATACGTGATTTGGTAGCCGACTAACTTTTTTGTGTTAGTATGAAAAAGTTTGATGTTTGATCGGTGGTTGAATCGTTTTTAATTCAAATAAATTAATAAAATTTAAATCATAAGCATCCTATGTTAATAGTCCAAGACTATGCAAAGTTTCAGGAATTTTTATCGGTTCTTACTATTAAAAATTGCAATTTTATTAAAGCGGCGTCACTGCTCGATATGGTCGCGAGGCATGTTTGCCCCCAAGGTGACGTCACGATACCCCTCCCCCGCACCGCCTGCAGCCGGCTACGATGCGCAGTAGCACACCTTATTTACTTCCACCATGTGCACTATCACCACCAGATCTAGCCAATTCCCTTCTTTCCTAGAGGGGTCGTTGTTTACTTCGTAACTCTGGCTTTGTCCTCATTAATAATCATTAGGAGTGTGCGAAGCAGCAAAATATTTTGATTCGAAGCAACGATTCGATTCAAAAGATGTTTGATCGAATCGATGCAACTCGATTTGAAGCGATACAGCATTTTCCCATCCATACTTGTCAATGGAGTGAAATAACAAAATTTTTTTGATGTGGTATTATCTAAGCCTATCCAAACATATATGACATATTATATGTATTTTGAAAAATAATTTATTTTATATAATATTTTAGAACCTGTATTGCTCAAAACGTCAGTGAGCTGCTTTATTTGCCTATTTCATTATTTTTACTTGCAGAATCATATTGTTAAGCATGTTGCCTATTTTATAATATTGATTTTACAAATAAAGATATGTTTTGGTGTAAACAAATAAAAACATTTGTAAGATTTATACTGAAACTTTCAATTGGTTTACATTGGTAAAATGAGAGGATAGAATCAGACCTACAAACTACAAGGTATACATAGCTTCAGACCTACAAAAATACCAAATTTATCAGTATTAAACATCAGTCTTACTAGTTAAGTATCAAGAAACAATTTTTCAGACTTGTGTTATTTTTAGAATGATTTTGGAGTGACTTGTTTGGCTACGTTTACAGTAGTAAAACATGTCTCACATTGCTTACACTTAACAAAACTTCTCATCATTTGCAGAAGAAGAATTAATTAAATAAGAACACCTTCTAAAAGGAAACGCAACAGCGGGTATTGCACTGATTTTCTGCAGGCGTTTTTCGTATATGGATACTGATTCCCACATGAATCAAATCGGAATTCGATGCATTTTCGATGCATCGCACACCCCCAATAATCATACCCTTAAAGTACAGTAAATTATGTTATATTTTAGAGGAAATCCATGTGGCTACTGGCTAGTTAGGAGATTTTGAAATGAAATAAAGTTCAGCTAGTTTATTTGAGAAAATCAGAGTACAGGGACTTATAGATACACAATAGAAGGCCACACAACATAACACTGATATTTCTTCCTTGTATAGGTCTTCTTTAGAGTAGTGACTAAGTAACTACTACTAGTTACTAATAGTTACTAAGTCAAGTCAGGGAGTTACTCCCTGAAGAAGTTCTTTATGAGGACGAATTATGACTGTTGTGTTTTGTGACCTTTCATTGTATATACTACATTAGTCCCTGTTCTCGCTAGCTAAACAAAATGTACTCCTTTTCAAACAAGTCTTAAAGAACAGTGAGTATATTCAAAGAGGTGGAAGTAAGGATGACAACAAACTGATGCTAATATACAATTTAAAGCGTATACAGTACAATACCTCTAACTATTTACATCATAAACAACACCTAACTCACCAATGTTCAGTCCAGTGGTGTTCCCCATCAAATGTCTCCCTCAAATCTCTTAGTCTGATTTCAGTTTTTTTTCAGCGCCTGAAGTTCTGGGGCCTGAAAAGTATGACAAAAGCTGTGACATCTGGTCGCTGGGTGTCATCATGTACATTCTGTAAGTAAAAAGTCAATAAATTGAGTGTCATTGTTAACTTTGTTCTGTAAAATGACCAAATCTTGAATCTCAAAATTGAATCTTTTCTTCTTGATATACAGGGTTAGTAAAAAGTGTAGAGACCCCAAGTTATTTTTTTAACGGCACATACTAGAAAAACTAAACTCGGCACACCATTATGGCATGTTATGAAGTACTTTTTGGGCACAACCGCCACTTGGTGTTCATCCCAAAAATGGGGGATTTTGGGGGAAACTAAAAGATTTCAAATACAAAGACCCATCGAGTGACCCCTCATTTTGAAGGTCCTGGTAAAAGAAAACCAACAACGCAAACTAGAGGTCTCTATCTCAGTTCAGTACAAAATGGCAGCCAATTGAAATTCTCATAAGTTCCCAAACCCAAAATGGGAGATTTTGGGGGAAACTCAAAAATTTTTAAATGATAAGCCCCATCAAGTGACCCCTCATTTTGAAGGTCATAATAAAAGAAAACTAACAACGCAAACTATAGGTCTCTATCTTAACACAGCAAAATATGGCAGCCAATTGAATGTAAAATTGCAAGTTATTTCCGATTTCTAAAGATTTCAATCAGGTTCCATTTTTTACTGGATTGAGATAGAAACCTTTAGTTTGCGTTGTTAGTTTTCTTTTACCAGGACCTTCAAAATGAGGGGTCACTTGATGGGGCTTATCATTTAAAACTTTTGAGTTTCCCCCAAAATCCCCCATTTTGGGTTTGGTAAGCAAGTGGCTATTAGGCTTAAAAAGTACTTCATAACATGCCGAAAAGGTGTGTAGGGTTTAGTTTTCCTAGTGTGAGCCGCTACAAAATTTACAGGGGGTTTCCAGACTTGGAAAGCTGCAAGTTAAATTCAACTTCTGAGAATTTCAATTGGCTGCCATTTTTTACTGGATTGAGATAGTGACCTCTAATTTGCGTTTTTGGTTTTCTTTTACCAGGACCTTCAAAATGAGGGGTCACTCAATAGGTCTTTGTATTTGAAATTTTTGAGTTTCCCCCAAAATCCCCCATTTTGGGGATGTACACCAAGTGACGGTTATGCCCAAAAAGTACTTCATAACATGCCATTTAAAGGTGTGTCGAGTTTAGTTTTTCTAGTATGGGCCGTTAAAAAAATAACAGGGGGTCTCCACACTTTTTACTAACCCTGTATATTGCTAGCTTATTGTGCCTATGCAATATTTTTGATTTCTTTAGGCTCTAGCTAAGAACTTTTTTCCACATTACTAGCTAGGTCTAGAGGAAGTCGAGGCATTATCATGTAGATCCATTGGTGTTTCCTTTTGTTAAGTAGCTGATTGCATGAACCATCACTTCATTGGTGTAGCAAATAAATTTCAGTCCCAGGTTTCGGTGGCAGATTCAATCGCCAAAGCAAAAATGGCACCTTTAAATGTCCCACATGCATTTGAATTCAAGATTGTCTCTGAATCCGATGTTATCTCTTGCATCAATCGATTAAAGAATAAGAGTTCAACTGGTTAGGATGAAATTCCAACAAATGTAATAAAATCATTGGCTTCTTCAATTATAAAACCACTTACTCATTCTATCAACATTTCATTGCTGACAGGAGTCTTCCCTGACAAATTAAATTATGCTCAAATTATACCTATATTTAAAAAGGGGGACTCTGAAGAAATTTCAAACTACCGATCAGTGGCTCTCTTACCTGTGTTTTCAAAAATATTTGAGGAGGTTGTTCTCTCACAAATTGTTCCATTTCTTGAATCAAACAATTTATTGAACAAGAATCAATTTGGTTTTCGGAGAGAGGGAATCACGTCTGATGCAATAGTCAATCTAGTTTCTGAGGCAGTAGAGGCCTTGGACAAGTTGCAGATAACCTTTGGTTTTTTCTGTGATTTGTCTAAGGCCTTTGATTGTGTCAGGCATGACATTCTCTTGGAGAAATTGAGATTGTATAGGATACCTGGATCATCTTTTTCATGGTTTTCTAGTTACATCACTAACAGATATCAGCAGGTTGTCATCAAAGATAAATCCGGTGTCAAACATTTTTCTGAATGGAGCTCAGTAACCCATGGTGTTCCACAGGGATCTAAATTGGGGCCTCTTCTGTTCATCTTCTACATCAGTGACTTGTCTTTTTGACTTTCTTCCAAAATTATTCAATTAGCTGATGACACAACAATGCTAGTAAGAGCACCTTCTATTTTTTCTGCAACTAACATTGCATCCCGAGATTTAGATTCCATAATAACTTGGTTTGCACAAAATGGACTACATCTAAACTGTTCCAAAACTCATCTTCTTGATTTCCATAATCCACAACTGAAGACAGGTGAGATAACAATCAAACTAAAATCAGGTGATTCCATCAAATCTTCTACAAATACTAAATTCCTGGGCGTGAACATAAATGAAAATCTAAAATGGTCTGATCATCAAATACAAATTAGCTTGTCTCTAGCAAAAGCACTGTTTGGTCTAAGGGTGGTTTTTAAGTCTTCGGGTTTGCATACAGCTCTTGCTATCATTCTTATATATCATTCTTATAATATCATTCTTATTTTATGTCTAGGTCTTCCTATGGTATTATCTCATGGGGCAGCTCCCCCATTACCAAGAATATTTTTATCTTACAAAAAATTGCCGTTAGAATTTTAGCTGATAGACCACATTCCTCTTGCCGCCCCCTTTTTATTCAGATGAAACTCTTGACAATTTATGCAGTTTATATTTTTCAACTGCGTATCTTTGTAAATAGAAATTATAAGGAATTTCTGTTGAAAAATTACACTCATCAATATAACACCCGACACAGGAATGATCTTCAATATCCTGTGTATAGAACAGCTCTGTATGAAGGATTGCCATGGTACATGGGTAGGAAAATTTACAATAACCTCCCAGATCAAATTAAAACTGAAGAAAATATGTCATCCTTTAAAAGAAAATTAAAATCTTATCTCATTCTCTTGTGTCTTTATTCCCTAGATGATTATATGAAAACTTAGCTTTAGGTTTTATGGATTGATAAAAAACAAAGAATTTAGCATAAGGTATTATTAGTTAGTAAAGTAGTATTGACATGTCATATGTTTATATGTGAAAATCACAATCTTGTAAACTTATGTGACAAATAAACATTTCATTTCATTTCATTTTCATAAGTGAAATCATTAATTTGTTGTGTTGAAAGGTTGTGTGGATACCCACCTTTCTTCAGTGACAATGGCCAACCAATCTCTCCAGGGATGAGGAACAGGATCAAGACTGGCTCGTATAGCTTCCCCAACCCTGAGTGGTCAAATGTGTCTCAGGATGCTAAAAGTCTGATCCAGGACATGCTTAGAGTGGATCCCACTCAGCGACTGGACATCAATGAAGTGATGCACAATAAGTGGATTGCAGTGAGTTATATTCATACTAACTTCCCACCCATTAGACTGGTAGTAAAATATAAAATAACAACTTTATACAGAATGATTGATCGAGTTTGTAAATTTGTTCATTAAAAAGGCATTTGCTTCATAAGCTTTTTTCCAAATTAGAAGCAGTTGACGTAAGGTGTAACACACTTCAGTGGCTTAAAAGTTATTTGTATCATAGATCTCAACTCATCTCAATTCCACAAACAGTAATATTAACTATATGTTAATTATGGCATGTTCAATGCAGTACTCTTGGGCCTGTGTTATTTTGTATATATAGCCTGCATATAAATAACATTTCAAATCTTAACATTTTCGGTAAGCTATTTTTATTTGCTGATTACGGTTTAGTTTTAAATATTGAAAAAACTTGGCTTGAGGCCCGTAACAAAGTTTTGCATGACATAATGGTAACTAATTATACCATTTTGTTCCAGATTGTTTCACAATTGGTTTGGTTTGATACTTTATGTAAAATTTCTTGGAAAAGGCACTTAATTGTGGCAATCCACATAATGAACAGTTTTATTAGATATCAGACACACTGTAAAAATATTTTGATGTACTTGTATTCTCATTTTTGTTTATTGATATATACTTAAGTACTCAGTTCTCATGTTGTAATGTTGTTTGATAGCAATACACAAGTGTACCTCAAACACCGCTACACACGGGACGTATGCTGAGGGAGGGTGAGGAGATGTGGTCGGAGGTTCAGGAGGAGATGACGAGATCTCTAGCCACCATGCGAGTTGACTACGACCAAGTCCACATCAAGGCCCTCAACAACACAAACAACCCTCTCCTTAACAAACGGCGCAAGCGAACCGTACATGAAGCCTCCTCCTAACTGACTGGTAAGTCAGTCCCTGATCTTTACGGCCCTAGATAGTTCAACTGTTAGCAATTGTTTGTTGAACATGCCAACAAATAAATCAAAACAACTGAAATAGTTAGTTTGTAAAAAATTAGTTTTTCAACTTGATATTTGTTGCTAAAAACTGCTAAAAAGCTGGATTGCTAATTGATTCTTCACAATTCTTTCTGACCAAAAGGCTGCTTATACGTTTTCCAAAAGTGTCTGACCTTTGGAATAGTTTAAAACCTAAACATGCTGTTATTGCACTAGATATTGCACACAATAAAAATCTCTATTAACCAATTGTTATACGTAGAGTCCCGCAAACTCGGCGTAATGTGGACTGGAAGGGTGCCGAGTTTGTGAAATGCCGGGTTATCGGGAACTAGGGTTAAAAATAAGAACAATGCAGTTTTTAAGCTTATTAAATGCCTCTTTAATTTATATTTATATTACAAGTTAGTATTAAGTTATCAGATATAGTACAACATATCCTTGGTACGAGCCGCAAATGATTTGACTTGAGCTGGCTTGAGTCCATGTTTAACTCAGACTCAAAAAATCACTAATTTTCTGAGCCAGGCGATGGCCGAGTTATCCAGACTGCCGGGTTATCGAGTGCCGAGTTTGCAACTTTTTTACTTTATAGTCAGTGTATGTGTCTTTAGTATACCTCTGTTTTAAACATTTGACCGTGTCTGTTTAGAAATATAAATTGACCTGTAATCTATCAAAAGCTAGATATTTCCTTTATCAATAACAACTTGATTATGCTAACCTCTTAAAACAACCTCAGCACTGGTCTGATGCCGTTGTGATTCAGCCTGTGCCTGACTTTAGAAAGTTGACTCTTATGAACTCACAAAAAACATGAAAATGTGAAAGTAAAAAAAAAAAACTTTTGATAAACTATAAATTTCATTTTTTAGTTTGAGTGGAGAGACTTTGATATAGAATTCTTACCATTAGTAGCTCTTTGACTAATAATTTTTGTTATTTTCAGGAAACTTGGCACAATCACACTAGAGTTTTCAGAATCACATCGTGTGTATGGTAGGTTATAGCTTTTCTGTTGATAGAGTTAACTATCATTTAATCACTATTGTCTTAAGGTCTAATACACTCATATTTTTTAAATGTGTTGACTTCTTGTTTTATTAAGAATCAATCTAAACATACAGTTGTGAATTCAATATAGCGAACAAAACCGTTAGCAAAGTGTTCTATTATTGGAATCTTCCTAAGCATAAACATAGATTTGCACGTCAGGTTGTGAATAACTAGTACAAATGATTTGAATTAAAACATGTTTCAACAATTTGTGTGGTTATTTCTGTAATTAACTATTATTGATGTTGCTCTTTATTCACTTTGTTGCTGTATTTTATCTGTATAATTCTGTGTGTATATTAAAATATTATAAGAAGCCTTAAACATATAATTGACTACAGTAATCCCGAGGGTAAAATATATTACACAACTATTGTGTTTTCCTTTTGAATAGGCATATGAGGTAAAATTCTGAATAAGCTGGTTAAATGTTCTGTGGGTTCTTAATGGAATTTCACTCCTTATCCAAGGTAATTCGACTAACAGGAATAAGTTTACTTTGCTTTTTAATCAGTGCTATATTTCAACAACAGTAACAAAAGATTGTTGTCGATCACATTTTCTTAAGATGTTGTTAGCTAAAGAAATCTTTTTATTTTGAAACAGGTAACAAAGAAATTTCACGGAAGAATTGAGTTCAACCGTGAATGAGACTGGGGATCTAAATCACTCAAACTTGATAAAAAGTTCTGGTAATTTAAAAAAGAACAATATATTAGTGTTCTGTACAAGTAGATAGAAGCTTAGTTTTGTATTATTGTTTTGGTGGCTGTTTAATAAGTCGAGGTTAGTTTTGGAAGACAGTTAGCAATGCTGTGATTTTTCTGCTATAACATGATGGTTAGAGCTTGAAGCAGAAGCAGAAGCCTATATTTAGCGTAAATATTATATTTTATGGTATTAATCTTTGTGTTAATGAACTGTATTATTAGTATGGATGACAGGGAATGTTTAAATGGAATATTTAGTTTTACGTTACAAAATGTTATAACAAACATATTTTTAATTATGTTAATTTTTAGAGTTTTGTATGAAATTAAGTTTACTCTAATCTAATTTGTCTTAAACTATGTAAATCATACATTTGTCTATTTTCATTATAAACTACTAAAATTATATGCACCCAAATATAATGCAGGGATAGACATTAGTATTAGTAAGTCTTATGTTAGAAGTCCTAGTCAGTGACTGTTTGACTCTTCTTGTGTTCAGAAATCTTCCAAAGCTTGTGTAGAACTAAGTTACTTTTGATCTAGCAACTGCTATCTGTTGACATATGTTAATATATGTATATATTGAGTCGATGTATTATTTTATTTGATAACCTCACTTAATTTATGCTGCACATTTTTTATCTAGTTAACAGAAAGTTTTTCATTGCCGTAAGTTCTTGTGTCAATATTCTTACAATCCACCATCTGTTAAGTACAAGAATTGTTCAACTGAAATGTTTCACAATTTATCATGTCACACACACCTTCCTTATATGAACTTTCTTGGTGCAGAAAAGTGCATTTCCAACAGTACAATACATGCATTAAATTACAAAATTGCACCCCTAGAGGCCTACCAGTAGTGCTCTGTCTTGTCAACTGTAGGTGAGGTTGAGGTTAGTGCTATTTATTCCAGCAAAAGTTATGAATCTAAGAAAAATGAGCAGTAGCCACAACAGCTCGTTTTTTTCTCATTCTCGGTAAATAGGTGTATTGACAATAATAGAGATAAAATCAAGACACTTGACAGTTAAATAGGTTCCTCAAATTTTAGGTAATTAAAAAAAAAACTTTTTGACTGCCGTTAAAAAGTTTCTATACCACAGTAACGACACAAGAGTAGGTAGTGATAAATATTCATTACTTTAAAGTGGGCCTTACATCTAATCTCAGTTACTTGGAAACAAAACTTATATAAATATTTTGTCCAAGAACAGATCACTCTGAAAATGCATCTAAGGTCACAAGTTGCTTAAGTAAAATGGATGAATTAGTTTATGTTTTGATTATAAATAAGTATAATGTTAAAAATTATAAAAATTATTGTTTTGTACTATTGTCAATGCCTTTAGATTTATATTTATCTTCAAAGAAGAATATTCAGGTCATTTACCCACAAAAAACCTTTGTTGTGGTTGGTTGTGAACAGATTTTATTTTTTTCACCTGTATCCATTGTCCATTCACAAGTGTTCAAAATGTATGAGTCAATAATGCTGTTGCTCACAATGTTTCAAGCTTAATTGTTGGATAATAAAATGTTAACCATAGATACTGTTTACTTATTTAAACAATTTCATTTAGTCTTCCCAAATATAATTCACGTGAATATGATCCTTTAAGGTTGGATCATACAATGCTAACATCTTTGCCAATTTAACCTCAGCGATAAAATGTTTGATTGATTCTATGCAAGAAGTAGATACTTAATGTGCCACCACTACTTGTATTGATTTTTGTAACAAACTGTATTTATTTAAAATCCCAATAGAAATCAGTAATAAAGATAATTAGACTATCATAATCACTGTACTCTCTCTGGTTATAAAAGGGCACATTCACAAATCATTAATACTAAAAGGTTACACCTGTCATATTTCTATTTATACCAATAAATAGTCAATAATACCTAAATGATTCTGATTATGTAACATACAAGTATGGTAGGGTAGGAAGGAAAACAAATAAATGGCACAATATATGTACATGTTTATTCAAAAATAAAACCTACATTATTGCAAAATAAAAAGGAAAAGAATACTTAAAAAACAGGTGATCAACTTAAAGCTAAGTAATATATTTATTTGATTACTGTCGGACCATTATGAAAATAGATACTTAGTCGTATAAATACATTTTCAAAGCCTCTTTTATGATTAATTAAACACAAATAAGATCAATTGCATAAAATGAACGTTTTATTATTATCTTACCAAGTAGGATTGGTAGATACAAAAAGAAAAATATTTAAGGCACAAGGGTGACTATATTCAAAGCCAAAATATATAAATGAGCCTTCTAAATTGCTTGTTTTGTGCTTCATCATGTTAACAAATAAACGATCTCTGTACAGTAAAATAAAAGATTGGTGTGGTAAATCTATACCTCAGTACCTACACTTATCAAAACTACAGAGCAAATGAAGAATTTACTTACTTAATACATCAAAAAGGCAATAGTTGCCAAAACACAACTGCTAGAACATAGTGAAGTAAAAAGTAAAAAGTTACAATCATAAAATAAAAAAATCTAAACAGAAAATGTATAGTTTTATACAGATTTTTCCAGGGTACCACTTGGTATTTGTATAGTTTTCACATGAAAAATACTTAAGAACACATAAATTCACAAACATAAATGATTGCAAGAAGGATACTTACTTAAATTATATTCACATACAAAATAACACAAATAAGTGATTCATTCACTTTGTCTTCTAAGTTAGTCAACTTGTCTTCTTAAATGTAACACATAAGGTTGTGTTTATAATATTTGGCTCTAATATTCATTATGACAACATGAAAAGCAAGTTGATAGAAACAGTATAACAATGTTGTTAAACTTAATGTCACAGTTTGAAACTTATGGCTATTGTTAGTACATCAGTACTAATTTTAAATTTCAAAATTTGATGTAAAATGTATTCACAATTTTACAAGAGATAATGTTTTCCTGTGGTTCAATACAGCCTACTTATCTACTTTGATTAATTTCAGTAATTACATTACAATTGGAAAACCTCAGCAAGGAAATTAAAAAGTGATATGAAATACGCCTGATGATGTTTGGTCGCTACAATCTATTAAGGCTTGTACATTCACTTGACATCAACACCTTCAATTAGTTTTAGTTGATAAATATTAATTAGTCTGGATATAGATGTATTGGAAAAAGTCCTTGCTGGGATTTCATCATTTGCTGTGTTAGCACAATAAATCAATTATTCTGCAAAATCTCTGATAATGACATCCAATTGCTCATTTATGTTCTAATTTACATAATAATGACTAGTAAAAAGCTCAATTTTATAAAACTTTTATATAAAATATTGATCTTAAAGATTTCTATGAAATAACTTAAAACATTTAAAGCAATAACAATTAAATAATAAAAAATATAAACGAACAAAATATTTTCAACAATCAAAACTAAAAAAATATATAAATAGTTTGAAAAATGAAGGTAAAATGGCAATCGATGATTGTATTGATGGAAGGATTTAAACATCGACCTTGAAGGGAGATCCTGGGATGTGCTCATCTCCCCACCTGACGATGACAATGTAGTCTCCTCGCTCCCTGACTACATAGTTAACTGTGAAGTTGTTGCGACCCATGTGTTTCACGTATACTTCATCACACGGTCCCTTGGGTCCGTATATTCCAACATACAGAATGTTGTTTCCTGCCAAAATACGATAAATTTAAAAAATGAAGTAGTAGAAGTTATATTGTGAGACAATTTTGAATAATTTAATTTAAGCCACATAGAAAAAAAAAACATCAGAATATTTACTAATTTAGTTATTTAAATTAAATCATTTTTTTTTATTACATGAAGTCAAAGTATCCTAATTTATTACCTCTTGTTGTTATGAAGTATACAATTGAGCTACATTTACAATAACATAACCTCAAGAAAGGAATTTGTTCATCATTGACTGGACGGTTTTATGAAACCTAAATACTGGTGCTGAAAATGTTGATCCCCACCTAATTGGTCGAAAACTATACCCACCCCTAGTGAAAATATTTGTGATGCAGAAGCCCATATAATATATAAACTCATAAAATAAAAAAAAAACATAATAATGAAAATTTGAATAATTTGGCAAAATAGTGACGAGTCTAACTAAATTGTTGTCAGTTAACGTGTAAAAACTGCCTATAAATGTAGATATTTAACACCAAAGAAACATACTATAGTTCGGCCGCTTAGAAAACGACCTGCGCGCTAATGCTAAACCAGTGCTGGAGGAGGTCGCTTTCTAAGCGGCCGAACTATAGTACCGAGCTGATTGTCAAGAAGGTTATTTGCTATGATTTTGGAAACATTGGTACCATGCTATCAATAACGTCTAACACTCGACAATTAAACACTCAACAAAAACTTAACCCAACTTATCACCAAACACTTACCGGCATCTGCGCAACTAACAGTGAACATGTTCTGTTTTTGGAGGTAGGCCTTCTTAAGACCCATGCCTTTGCATGTTACTTTGCTGGCATCAGACTTGAACAGTGGCAATACCACCCCTTGACCTGCTTTGTTCTTGGCCACCTTCTGAACTGTTTCCACAACCACTGATGATGTTTCCTGGGCTCCCCGCTCTGCCAGATCTTCACCTATAACAAGGAATCAAAATCAGAAACTTTTCCGGCATTGATTTTATTTTTTACCCTACAATCTGTTCTATGAAAAAGATTAACAATAAGTAAATATTATAAAATACAACAAGTAACATTCGGGATATAAAACAAACTGTTAAGCACTGTCAATAACAACAATAATTTTGAAATAAATCACTTCACAAAAACCAAAAGGGCAGGTCCAGAATTGAAGGTCTTTTAGGTCTATAAATTGTTTCAGTATTGTCGAATGTGTGAATTTTTAATTTTGAATTTGAAATTGGAATTCAAGCAAGTTCAGTGCAAAATCATTTGGATGAGAGACGAGATTCCAATTTTGAAACATATTTCTCACTCAACTTTGTGATTTCTTCCCTGATTGTGGGTTCCATAAGGTCCTCATGCAGTGTTCTGTTAGATGAAACACAGGATTGAAAAAGACTAAACTAATTATTAAACTAACAATGGGATAAGACAATGTACAACAGAAGTTCAATTTACTAATTTTGCATCAAACATTTAGATTTAAACTCTACGTGATAAATAACTGCTATGTTTAATATGGTAGGGTAAGCTTAAGTTGAGCTTATGAGAGAGTATTGCTATGCTATACATATATCTTTTGTAATATTTTAAAAGTAAAATTTGATTCCAAAATAGTAAATCGTATATTTTGTAAGTAGTCCCTAAAGTGGCCCAAGCTCAAGTTTGACAAAAACAGAAAGGAAAACTAGCAAGAGCTGAAGAGATGTTTTCCTTTGGTGTCATAATGTACCATTATTTGAGCTAATTAGTAATTTTCAAAGCAAAGATTCTTGGTATTTTGTAGGTTGTATGAAAATGTTAAATTACTTAACAAAACCAATGCCCTCAGTATTGGATGAGTTATGTTGGTATTTTTCATGTCACTGTAAAGTACGGACCAAGCTACCAGATAAACTGGTCAGAAATAAAATGTTCAGATTGCCTATTTATTCATCGTTAAGCAAGTTTAAGGTGCAAGTCAACATCAACTGTATAAAATCATCACACATTTCAGTAGTTGGCTTGTAACTCGCTGTGCACTTCAATCATTGGTAAGTTTTTCACTAATAAAATCTAAATCAAAATCGTATTACTTCCAACATAAAAAGCACTGGTAAATAATTATATACCAAGGTAAAATTCCTCATTAAATGTATACCTCATTAAATAAATATTTAATTAATTCTAATTTTAATGGCGACTAAATTACCATACCATATTTTCAAATTAATTTGAAGTTTTTGTTTAGTTTTAAAATATAATATCCTTAATCTATTTACACACCTGTGCATGTGACTTTAAAGGGAGATCCAACGATGTGATAGCTGTTGTACTTAAGACTGATGTAATAGTCTCCTGGAACTAACGGCGTGTAGCGCACTTTGTAGCCCTCCTCCACCTCAGTACAGTCCATGGACACCTTGCTGGGTCCATCGATGGTCACGGCCAGAGTCCCGGCACCAGCATTGCACGTGTCTACTATGAAGTCTGTCTTCGCACCTGTAGGCAATGTGAGAGCCAAACTGAGAAAACACGCCAGTATTGTACAGGGGTTTCATAAAATAATTATGGGTTTGAGCCTTGACCATGGAGAGTAGAAGATATCCCATCCATACAAACCCCATATTGTTGATCGGTTGTGCGACATACAACTGATTAAAGTATGCCCGTCACTACATTTGATCAGTATAGAAACTTTAGCAGTGCTGTATCGGCTCAATCCTTGCTTTGCTAGACATACACAGGGTTAAGACCGCTTTGACTGGAACCAAGAGAGAAAACAGGATTCCAACAGTAGCCCTGGCAACAGCTGGTCCTTAAGGACAATATGTCTACTTCAGTTTCGGTTTGTTATTAAATTAAATAAAACTGAAAAGCTGTAAATATTATTATTATTGTTTTAAATTCATATACATATAAAAATTAAAGCCCTAGTTTCAGAATCCCCAAATCAAAACAATAATAATATCATAATCAATGTGGAGTCATCATAATCAATTGCAGTTACCTGTCTTGATTTCGTTAAGTCCGGGTCCGCTAGCGTGTACTGCTGCTGGGTCGCCGTCCTCCTTGCCGACCTTGATCCTGAATGGAGATCCAGGTATGTGAACACTGTTAAATTTGACGTGGATGTTGTGAATGCCATTTTCTCGTGGCATGAATCGGATGGAGTATGTGTCCGGGTCGATGGATTGAATAAAGCAGTCGTCTTCCGCACCAGATGGAGAAACAATCTGTAAAAATAATTTTTGTCAGATACACATGTGATATTTAAAATACAGGAAATTTTACATAAAATACTTACATAAAATACTTGCAGTTGACTCCCTTGTATCGTGCAAAAATTTATGTAGGGTAATAACTAGGCATGGTACCAAAAATCTCTTAACGGTTGTTACCATTTGTAAAATTGGATGGTGACGTCACCGTGGAGGGGATGAATGTAGATTTTACCCTACTTCAGGAGCAATATAAGAGAGTTGTCGGAGTAGCCCTCTGAACAATGTTGACCGTCAACCATCTAATGTAAACAACATGAACGAACCCCTAAGCAGCAATGTCTAGCGATAGCAGATATTAACAATTCAAAACATTTCAAGCACTAGTAAGTGTAGAATATTCACACATGTTCTGGGCAGGATTCTTTTTTATATTTTTATCCAATACTTTTAAGAAATTAAATTAGTTTTGCTCTCATAAAAATTAATAATAATTATTTTTCAAATCATAACCTTTTAAAAAGCATAGTTACGAGTCAAAATATTACAGGAAACATTAATGTTGATTTAGGCAAAAATAACCATAGTTACTAAACAAACAAAATATTTAAAAAAACTAATAATTGTGGTGTTTATTTTTTAGGCCCTTTTAAACCTAAAAGCATCGAATATATGGTAAAATGTCTACAGTATCCAAAAAATTTTCAGTTTCCAAAGGACTACATCAGTTTTGGAAAGATCCAATTCCATCATCAGGTCTGATTCAAGAATCCATCCACTTCTCACTTGTCCATTATTAAAAAAAAAAAAAAATAGATACTCACAGGTACGCACAAAAAAAAGAAAAAAAATGTAAGGGTACATGTATCGTGATGGTCAAAACCAGCTTTGGTGGCAGCTTAAATGGTTAAATGTTTTAAACTAAGACAATGTACCTTCGCATCAAGTTGGCCCTTGGCTCCGTTTTTCCTGACGAGGAACTGAGCAGGCTTGTCAGGATGTACCCCTGTTGTGGGGAACTGGGCAACCTCTAGCTTGTGTGCATCTCCTTGGGCTGGAGAGATGAACAGCTTGTAGGGTGAGTCGGGGATGTGCTGATCATTGAACTTGATACCCACTCGGTACTCCCCTGAAACAATGAGTTAAAGATTAAAATCATCTTACAAATCTACATCTCTTTATTTCTTAGTGTTTATCCAAGCATTTTAAATCTTTTTTTGTAAAGAAACATCCTGAACTCTTGACACTTTTGATAATGTCAAAAAGCAAAAAGTATAAAGGTGAGAACTATAAACACTCAGCTACCCTGACAACTATTTTAGGAACATGATAAGCAAATAGAAAGAGTTTTTTGTAAAAGTATTTTATAAAGAAACTACTGTATAATCTAATTTTTTTATGGTAGTTTTTAGGTGAAGCGTGATGAATGAGTGTAGAATAGATGAGCAGAAATCTAACTTTTTACTAAGATAACGTGGGATTATCAAGGGAAACCTCACATGGACACAAAAAAGAAAAACTAATATTTTATATACAAATTACCTCCCTCTCACCCACTAAAAACCTCTGACAGTCATCAGATTAGTCTAGTTTTAAGTTTTTAGATTGTTCGAGTTTTCGGTTTTAGATCTCAGTAAAATATTAGTTGGTTTATTAAATATTAAATATTTTATTGTATTCCAAAGCTACTAACATTTCAAAATGTTTTCTATTGGAGCCATTTAAACTCTGGACTTGTTACCATCAAAGTTGACCTGCTTTTAGAAAACATCATTAACAGATTGATGACCGAATGAAAAATTACAACTGATTTTATAAACTATCTTTCAAACCGGTATTTTTGGATTTGAGGGTCACTATAACCAATTCACTAATTGAACAACTGTACTCATATTTGCATACAATCACAATAATATTTAATAATTTCCACATGAGTAACTATACCTAAAGACATAGATACAAAATGTATACACACATAGGCACTGCAACAATTTTCTTTATAAAATAAACAATGTTGACTAATATACATTGGATCTGTTGACAGTTATTTTAAATTCATATTAGTCAATACTTAAGTGTAAAATTAAAGTCAGACCAAAATCATGTGGTTTTGTAAGTAGCTAACAATTTTCAGTTAGTTTTCTTACAATATTTACATTTAGTTTTGGCACAGCGAAAAAGGATCTGCATTATTGGTTTAAGAGTTTAAAAAAACTATTTACATACATATAAAAAGTTTTGAAAAATAATGATTTGGGCTTATCAGGACCCTAAAACGAAACAATGACCCAACTCATAGTCTCACCATCAAAAGAAATGATAATAGTTTATTCTTTCTGGAAAACGGTCAATAAAAACAAACAATGTTACATTTTTCTCTGTTAAACTAAAGATGGGAACTGTAAGATGTTGAATGATGGGTTTTCTGCGAAACTGAGTTCACTTATTACTTTTGGCACAGCTTCAAGCATGACTCAACAAGATCCAAAAATAAAATCTGCAGATCATCCACAAGTTTGGTGAATCCTTCTGCAGCTGTTTTGGAACATCTTAAGAAGTATTTTGGGTTTATCTATACAAAGTGATATCATGTGTGTCATATGAATGTTATAAACAGGGGAATAATGTTTATAACAACTTGTGTGTGAAAGATCAAAAAGAATATATGTTATTTTGAAGTTTCACTCATCAACATTTTCTATATATTTTACCCACTTTACGCTTTCAATATAAAATTATGTTGAATATCAAAATCGTGAATGTAACCATATATTAAATCATAGAATATATAAATTATTACAAAACAAACATATTATAGGACAGTTTAATATTTTCTTGTTGTTACACATTATTATAAAGTATTTAATTGTATTTGAAAATAACTCTAAGGAAATTGGGCCTATACAAATTATGCTCATAGACACTGTCTGATTAATTTTGCCATGATTTTCAAACTTATTTTCTTCAACTTATGCAGAATGTTAAAATGTGTTATACACATACAATTTTAAATTTGTGATCGTTAACATTTTAAATAGCCAACAAATTGTTTAAGAGGATGATAAAATGAGCACAAATTTGTATTGGAAATATTCTAAACTAAGAAAGCCATCATTAATATATAATTAAATGAATGCAAATTAGGTGAGAGGAAGAGCACGGTTACCTTTGTCATGGTCGTTATCGTTGACCAGAATGGACTGGCTCGTAGTATACATTCTGGACTATCTACGCCTCCCTACCGCCCATTCATACTCTCGACTGACATGTACCATCTTGTGTTATCCTCTATTTTTAGCTCACTCCCACCACTACTAGTATTTACCTGATTTAAAAATTCTCCATGAAGTTGGCTTGGAGCCAGGGGTTACTAGTGCTCAGTCCTTATCATTTAAAGCATAGTGATTTCATCCAGTGATGCCTTTGATCAATGAAGGGGCAAACTGCTTTATACAAGTTTGGAAACTGTATTTTTTAAATTATTATTTTTACTTTTTCCCCGTATACATAGTATATGGAGAAAGTATTGTTTTCGTCAACATTTTTGAGTTTGAGTTTTGAGTGGATATATCCGTTTTTTCCCTGAACCCAAAAAGTGGTTTTCAAGGTGATGTCTGTCCATAGGTGTCTGTCTGTATGTGTGGATATGTACAGAGCTATAGACCACACCTGTTGTCCGATTTTGATGAAATTTGGTATGTAGGTACTAATCCATGGTATCTCCAGGTATTTGTTCATTTTTTAGAAATTTAGATTTTTAATGATAATTTTCCCATAAAACCCATAAAATGATGGAAAAAATCCAATTTTCTCAAAAATGGCATGAATGATTTTGATAAAAATGTATTATGTTATAGTCCCTTGTATTATGAATAAAATGGTACAAATCCAATTTTTTTAAACTACGGTTCCAAAGTTATTGTAACTTAATATGTTATTTTCCTATATAACCCCATGAAATAAAAAAATCAGATTTTAGAAAAAAAAGTTGGTTTTGATTAAAATTAGTAGGCTATGTTACCGTATGTATGGTCCTTTAAATTTTGAAAAAAAATGGTACAAATCCCATTACCGTAAAAATTACGGTTCAAAAGTTATTGTAACTTATGTTATTTTCTTATGAAAAAAACCATAAAATAAAAAAAATTGGATTTTAGGAAAAGCCGGGTTTTATTAAAATTAATGTGTTATGGTCCTGATAGTAATTACAAACAAAATAGTGCAACCCTCCATTGCTGTAACAATTACGGTTCAAAGGTTAATGCAACTTTTGTGATTTTTCTCTATAAAATATCATAGTTACTCCCGTACCGCTTACCCATGATAAAGGTTGTTGGAGTCAATATATGAATTTGAAACCAGGATTCTAGTTAAAACTTTACTCAGATTTATATTACTTAGATATAAGTTTTATTTATTTATTTATTAACGGATACACCATTTATTTTTTCATGATAGTAGGTTTGGGCACACTTATAGTTAAAGCACAGTTCAGAGTTTTTACTGTTATTTAGATATTGAATGTGATATCAAGGAGGTTTTCAATTAATCAATGATAGGATTCTAAAAATATTTTTCAGACATATGTAAAATTTAATTAAAGTACCCTTTCTTTCAATATACTCGTAAGAATCCAACACCATTAAATTGGTTATAATTTTCAAATCTTATTTAAAATTGTTTTTAAGTTTTACCTTTTCTATTGCTCTTATGTTCTATATGCCCAAATAATTATTGGTATGTCAAAAAGTACTAATCATCAGTTGTAATACATAACGAAGTAAAATTATGAAAAGGAAAATTGAGATTTCAATTTTTTATTTTTATTGAAAAGAATTAAATAAGGTGACTGATTGTACTCTCACTGGTTTTAAATGGTATGGAGACTATAATACTATAATCCAACTTCTCTGCCCGGTTTTCTCCTAAACTTAAATCTCTGGTCTACAAGAAAAAACATCTACACAAAAGGTTTAAAGAGACACTTAACATCGAGATTTACGATGAATTTAGAACTGTAAGGAACACTTGTAAATCTTTGGTCAAAGCCTGCCATATATCATACTTAGAGAGGGTTGAGGACAGTTTAAGATCTAATCCAAAATCTTTCTGGAGTCACGTAAAATCTTTAAATAAAACCAAAAGCATTCCTAGTAGTATCCATTACAATGGTTTATCAACTGACAGCCCCTCACTCATGTGCAACTTGTTTGCTGATTACTTCTCGACGATTTATAAGACTCCTGGTGCAGCTCATCCTGCTCCTTGCCTACTTATGTCTGGTCAAACTCTCACCTCCTGGCATATTTCTGCTTCAGACGTGGATAAGAAACTTAAGAATTTGGATGTCTCTAAAGGTGCAGGTCCGGATGACATAACTCCTGCCGCACTCAAGTTTTGTTCGGACAGCTTGGCCCCCCATCTCTCAATCCTCTTCTCTTCCCTTCTTAGAAGAGGTATATTTCCACGTAACCTCAAGCCTGGATTTCTGGTCCCTATTCACAAGAGTGGTGATGCAGATGACGTCAACAACTATAGGCCAATAGTTATTCAGTCCGCATTGGCAAAGATATTTGAGAGTTTGGTTCTAGATGTTGTGGAGTTCACCTACAGGAGTTCAATCATCCCTCAACAACATGGCTTCCGTTCTGGCAAATCCACGGTCACCAACCTGATGGTATTATGGTTTGACAGCTACCTATCGGGACGCACACTCAGAGTCAAGCTTTCATCCAACATCTCCAAACCGATTCAGGTGACTTCTGGTGTGCCACAGGGGTCACACATGGGACCATTCTTGTTCAGCATGTTTGTCAATGACGTTGGGGACTCGGTGAACTGTGAGTATCTTGTTTGCAGACGATATCAAGATCTACAAGAAAGAGTCTTCTCTGCAACATATTGCTGGAAAGTGTGTAGTTATGTCATTTGGAAGATGTCAGAACTTGCTTGCCTACGACTACACAATTCTAGGCACTCAGTTAAAGAGAGTGAATGGGGCTAGGGATCTTGGAGTGTTCACAACCCCTACTTTGGACCCAGGTGAACACATACAGAGAATATGCATGAAGGCCAATTCTGTACTGGGTTTAATTGCCCGTATTTCAAGGAGTGGTGCTTTCTCTACTA